CCTTTCGACTTTTTCGCAAACTTTACCTTAACATTCACTGTGTGTCACCCACAGTCTCAAATCTTTCAAAAATTAGTACTTATGGTCCAAATGGATATTTTTGTTAGTTTGACCAATAGTTGACCCAATAAATTTGGCCTTAACCAATTTTAAAATTGATTGATAACTTTTCATTAAAAATAAAAAAACAAAAAATCAAAACCTAATTACTATTCAACTTCTCCCTCCCACCCCCACCTCCTCCTAAACTCAAAACCAGTTGGTCCCTGCCCCTTCGGAGGTGGCCGAGTTAGTGGAGCAGGTGAACGCGGAGTCCAAAAGTCACGAGTTCGAATCTCCTGCCAACACTTTCTCAGTCGAGCCCGTCACACCAGACTTGCCTTGTGCGATTTATCTCTCCTGTGTGGTTTGTGTGCTTCTACACATGGAGCAGGATTTACTTAGTGAGCACTCACAGTAGTCGAGCTTCCGCCCCTTCAGGGTAGTCGGGGCTCCGTTGACGAGTAGCAGCTGTGGGTTCCAACGAAAAAAAAAACTAGTTGGTCCTGGTTTACCCCTTCTTGCCACCACCATCTCCTCCACTGACTTTGCCACTTTTCCTGCCAACGTCTCCTCCCTAATTCTTCCCTCTTCTTCCTCACACTCCAACAATCCATTTTTCATATTATTTGGTTCAAGTCAATTGTGCTTATGCTGAAAAAATTAAGCTTTCTGTTTCTCCCCTCATCCCCTGCTAATGTTGGGGATCTAGGACTACTATTATTAGGGGTAGAAGAATTAGATTTTGTGGGTGGGGCAAACTGGGGATCGAATTAGAATTAGGGATTTAAGATGGAGTGTGTAGATGAGAAGCAGGGCGACGATGGTGAAGGAAATGGTGTTGACGAGGGTGAAAATGAGCATCAATCTTGGATGGGAGTCAAGAAATGGCGTCTTATTGCTGTTTCTGGCGCTGGAGCTGCTACAAGAGAAGGAACTGCTATTGGTGCGCAATTGTTGCCACCTTGGCATCTTCCATTTTTCTTTGTACTTTGAGTTTATGGTGGATCAATCAGGATTCAACTATTCAAGGGCTTATGTGGAAGAAATGAATGTGAAGGAGTTACATAAACATGCCTGCTGGATCTGTTGAAGTCCCTTCTATAGGGTTAGGATGGTTGGTTGGTTTAGGTAATGAGAGTTGTGGTGGTGTGGGTCAGTGGTGGCTGGATGGATGAGGGGACAATTTTCTAGTTTTGATTGGGTGGGGGGTGGGGAAGATGATGGGTTCATGCGTGCTTTTGTTTTTTTGGTTTTTTTTTTTTTTTGAATTTATTTTTTTAAATGCAAAGTTACAATTTTAACCATTTAAAATTGGTCAAATTTGTTGGATCAATTAATTGTCAAACTAACAGAAATCATCCATTTGGATCCCAAGTGCTAATTTTTGAAAGGTTTAGGATTGTGGTTGACACAAAGTGAAGGTTAAGATAAAGTCGCGAAAAATCAAAAGGTTTGGATTCCCTGCTACAATTATCCCTAATTAAAATATGTTTACAATAAATGCATCACAACGCATTTATAATTATAGTCTTAATTCAATAAAAATTGAAAATGAAGAAAAAATATAGTATTACTCTTTTTTTTCCTCATCTTTTCCAACCCATTCTTCTTGACCAACTTTCCCCACCCCCGGCTCAATAATATGCTCATAAACATGCCCAATATTTTCCATGGGCATCAGGAAACTTTGGCGGATACGAGGACCATTTAGTAAAAAAATCGAGTAAATAAAGAACTTTTTGCAATGAAAAGCTTCACATCAGAGGGATGATGGTACAAAAGAGATTGAAGATCCGCACCAACAAATCCCACAATTTGCCTCGTCACCCACTTGAGTAAGGATCCAGTAACAGGCTTAGGCATGAGCAATGAAATGATGTCTTCTTTATCCTTAACTGAAGGCAGTGGGAAATATTTAACGCTCAAACTTCTCATGCTGCTTTAAAGCTAGATCGACTGCATCATGACGATTTGTAGCTCCTATTACAATAACTGAACCTCGTGACTTTTAGCCATCCATTAAAGTAAGCAAAGTGGAGACAACTGAACTATGTGTTTGATCATGCTGCTTAGTGCGACACTGGGCCATGCCATCTAACTTTTCAAAGAAAATGATAGAAGGTTGTGATTTTTCTCCAACTTGAAACAAGAGCTGTTGCTGGCACTCAACATCACCAATATATTTGCTTAAACAATCTGCACCTTTGCAAGTAGAATATACTATATGTTTATCCCCTCAAGCACAAGAACCAATCAATGCACATGCACTCACAACCAATGTTTTGCCAATTCTAGGATATCCTCGTAAAAGAACTCCTCGAAGAGGCACAAGCCATAGATTGTTAAAATCTTCAGAGAAACTATTGGGCTTGTTTAAGTAATTTTACTTAGGGCCATATAAGTAAATAAAAAATAATAATTAAAATTGTGGTGTAACTGGATAATATAATTACTCTATATTAAATATTACATCAAGTGAGAATTACTTTTTGGACGATTCTATCCTACTATAATTCAATTATTTTAATAATGCATTACTTTTTATTTTTCAATATGTATTTAATTATTTCGATAATACTTTACATTTCACTTTTCACTATATATTTAATTTATTAATCATTTGAACAATATTATCATTAATAATATTGTCAACTATTTTAGTTATAATGAGTGTACATTTGACACATTCATTATCCGACTCTTCGTTTTAAAATATATATTTAATTTATTTAATCATATTTAACATATTCATTACCTTTTTCGCTTTTTAATATGTATTTGATTTATTTAATTATTTGAACAATACTATCATAAATTATTTTGTCAATTATTTAGTTATGATCAATGTACAGATTCATTCAATTTGATTGGATAGTAAATTAAATTCATTACAAAAATTGGAACAAAAGATGAACTTTTTTAGAGTTTTCTTCCAATTGATTTATTCAATGAATGTTAAGATATAAAAAAGGTAAATGGGGGACATAATGCATGTCTATAATAAATAATTTCAATTAAGCATATTCAATGCATATTAAGCGAATATGAAGAAATGATGGTATTCGTTGGATATTCAGTTTAGATCAAAATGGTAAATGGATGGACTATTCTAATTGACTTCCTCAACTATTTAAATTATTTTCACAAACTTGTTTTTATTTAATTTGAATTAAAAGTTCATTCCACATAAATAATTTGTATTAATTATTTTTCATATTCTTGCATCTTACAATATTATTTTTACAGCACCTATAAAGCATTTCAGAATAACGTGCAACTAGCCTATATTTGAAACTGTTTGTTTCTTCGTGATTATGAAAGGAAATTTTTTCTGTTAAATGGCTCGATTATGAAATGAAATTTTTTATTATTTATCCAATTCCAACGTAGTTTATTGGGTCAAAACATCCGGTTAGGACTGAACAAAACTTCCGAACTGAATCGGACCGGACAGAACTGAACCGAACCGAGCGGTTTTTCATAAGTTAAATACCCGAACGGGTATTTAAATCGAGAATCGACGGGATTGGTTTCTAGACCCAGAACCGAAAAATCAAAACTAAAATAATTTTTTTTATTTTTTATATTGAATTAATTAAAATTTTTTACTTTTTTCTAAATAAATTAGCAAATTAACTAATTTAGTGATTAATATTCTAACTCCCAAGCCAAGTCCATGCCTAGCTAACCTAATCTAACCCAATTTCTAAATTCAATTTTTTTTATCCTATTATAAATTTCATTCTTAGTCCAAGATCTAGGCATTTTTAAATTTTTTTCCTTCTCTTTCTAATTTCACACTTTCATTCGGTAACTACCGAGTCAATGACCCAAAACCATTTGATAAATTGAAAACCTACATCTACTGCCGAGTCTGACTTCCCCTCTCCAATGCCCATCGAAGCCGCGACCTTCAACTACGACCATCGATCATTGGCCATTAGTAATCTGTTAAAAAATTTACGGAACCGAATCGAACCGAACCCGAACGATTCCATAATTATATTTGGACCCGACAGTTTCATTTATTAAATACCCGAAAATTTTGTTTCGGTTTGGTTCTGTTCTGAGGAGAACCGAGCCGCTTCAGAACGGAACGGAACCGAACCGGATCATATCCAACCCTACATTCGGTTAAATTAGATGGCAAGGAGTCAAGGCAAGGTCAAGTTAATCCTCTCTCTCCGTTGCCTCGTTGAGAATTTTCGGGAGGCAGGTCAGGAATAAAATATTCCAAATTTCCTCCTTGTTTACTTATTTATTTTCATTTGTTTAGATACAAATTAAATTTAAACATATAAAAGTAGAGATCATGTTCTCCGCTCTCACTGACGTGATAACATGAGGCTCTGTGGGGGTGGGGATTGGGCATTTTGTCCTCCATCACAAAATCCTATCTCTATAGAGTTCGGTTTTACTGTTTCATTTAACTATCTCGTTCGTTATCCCACTGCTAAAAAATTGACACCACTAAATTAACTTCTTACCATTTGCTAGCAAGAAATGTGGTAATGTTTCAATTTTTTAGTGGTGTGATCTACAATTGGGATTTACATTATTTTCAAATTGCAAGAAAACATGCTTTTTAAATTGAAAAGCGTAGAAATAATTGTCTACACATAAATCACCTGACACGAATTTTAGCTTGTTGGGAAGTAACGTGGTTTGTGTATAGACTTTATAGTTTAGACAATAAAACTTGGATAACATATGAAGTACAAATAAATAGAGACAGACGATGTGACAATTAAAAGAGAGAGCAGATTTCAACTCATACTTATATCAGAATTCTATTTTGATAGGGAAAAATGAGACATATATAGTGTGCTTGACATAGAAAAACCAGAAATTTTAGCAACATATATCTAGTGAAAATACGATGTTATGAAGTTGTTTTCTGCATAAATTCACATCCCAAGCAATCCATTTGAGTCTATTAAGGTATTGAGTAGTAGAAATTACGATGGAGGAACTGCTGAATCAGTTTTAAGGGGTTCAATGATTTCGAGCAGTTCATTACCGAGACCAGTAAAAACAACATCATCTGTTTCAATAGGTTTAAACTTGATAAGCGCTGCAGGAACCAAATCCTCCTCTTCAAGTGTCACATTTCGTCCTCCTGGTGCAGAAAAATGTGGGATCACCCGGCGTTTGATTAAAACGGGATGTAGCAGCTCAAACTCTAAGCTTGGTTCTTTCAATGCAGAGCTTACAAACTAACATCAAGAAAACAAGTTCAATGATCAGCATTACAGGAGAGCTAGCAAGTTAACCCGTAAAATTAATTATATGTTACGAAAATTCAAATTAGAACAACTATATTGGATGTATATGCATTTTCATTCTGTGTTTTGCCAAAAACAAAATCTTAAATAGGAAGGGAATAATAAATTAAGTTCTGATGCTTGGAATATAATGTTTCGGCTGCAATAATCAGATGTGAAATTTAAGTCGTGTCTGAACAATTGGTTCATTATACATCCCACAAAAGGAAAAGTTGCTTTAGAAAATGCACAAAAGAATTTAGCTAATCCAAAAAATATAGAATTTTAACATGAATTACAAGATGCAACACTATAAATCCCATCTTATCACCTATGAAGTCAATGAATATCCCCAAAACATTCTATAAGTTCAACATAAAAAACAAAGAAAAATTACCATGATATAATGGAAGAGCCCAGATGAAGTATTCTTCATGGCTTATGATAATCCCCCCTACATACCATAACCGAACTCTTGCATTTCAATATTACAATCAGTTGAATCACTTGATTTAAAAACTTAAGTTGTTAGAAAGCTTAAGTTGTTAGATAGGACAAAATTTATGTCATTTAAATATTATCTTCAACATACTCCCGCACATTTAGGTGAGGTTTACATTTTTACTGATTAAAGCCTAACACGTGGACAATTAATTTAAACAGGCAATGTCAAGACTTGAATCTAGGATTGCCTGCTGTAATATCACGTTGAATCGTTTGATTTAAAAGCTTAAGGTGTTAGATATGGCCAAATTTAAATCTTTTAAATATTATTTTCAACACCCTCAAATTTAGATGATGGGAAAATTTAGTATAATATCAATGTTTAATGATACAAGACTTGGTATTTGAAGGCTCGGAGAGATGGACCTACTAGTAGTGGATCTGCTTGACAATTCAATATGGCCTTATTGGGGAACTCCAGGAGGAAAGTGAATCTAAGTGTGATTTATGCTTTGACAGTGCATTGTGTTGAAGTTCATATGCATGGTGAGGGAGCTAGGAAAAGAGAAAAGGTGTATCATACTATGTCAATTACTATTACTATTAAGATAAAAGTTCATCAGATCTGCAGAATTGGGCAGCCTTCCAACCCCTAACTTCTAGAAAATTCCTCAAGTTTGACAAATTTATCAATTGTCTATATGAAAGTTTTTTTACTACCCTCTTCCTCACCCATGAAAAGACAAGTAGATAGTAACATTCGGAGAAAAATGAGAACGACAATGAACAGCGTAATAAAGTAAAACTGTTTCATTTCTAATTTCTAATTGAATCAGACCTCAAAAAAATAAAAAAAATAAAAAAAAAAAATTCTAATTGAGTTCTATTTGGGGGTTAATTTCATTCGCCGTAAGTACACCTTCGTTCTAGTTCAATCATGTAAATGTACTTTTATTTTATTCAAGTAACCATACTTTAATTTGATTTCAATCGGATAATTATACTTTAATTTGATTTCATTAATTTCTTCTAATCCCAAAAACGATTATCGATGACGTGACAATCAATAAATGATGGTCATCACACGTAATTGTTAATTGCGACGTAAAATAAGTACAACTTCATTAAAATAAATGACCGAAATCATTTAGTGTAGTTATCTCACTGAACAAAATTTAAATATAATTACCTGATTAAAAGTGAAACTGCAACTACCAAGCATGAAATTTACCCTAATTTAATAGTCAAATCCCAATAAAAAGAATATGCTAACGAATTGCATTGTGTTGTGAAATATTGCAAGTCTGCTGAAATTAGGAGTCAAAATTTTCTGGAAGTACTCAACTATTGCATTATGAAATATTGCAACAAGCACAGTTTGGGGACGACAATAATGTTCATATATTACATATATTTGAACACATAGTGCATATGATATTATGATTCCCTGTTGCTACATTAATTTACTTGTATATCTATTAACTATGAAGTTCCTAATATAGTTTAATCACATATCCCATTCACAGGTCTCATCTACAAGCTGCTGAATATATTCTCTAGATGGTCGAATCATGCTCCCATTTGAGTTAGCACATTTTTAGGAGATTGACTACACCAAATTCCTCAAAAAAAAAAACACTAGTGTCGTAAGAATTTTTCAGTCGAAGTGTTGGAAAACACAATACAAATTTCTAGAATTCCAGGCTTCCAGTCACCAGTAAAATTAGAAAACCATGTTAAGAAGTTCTCCAAAGTCTTGAGAGACTCAATAAGAAAGATCTTTAAGGAGCTATTTTCACACCCATGAGTATAATTATCATATTCCCCAGGCCCAGGTCAACCCATAAGTTGACATCCTGCAGAATGCTTCAAAAAATTCAAAGCCCTCTAACTTTTGAAACCATCACCAACAAGACAGCTCTGGAACCATGACATAAAGGTGACTCACAATACACACTGAAAGTCTAGTTAAGAATTAGTGAATGGTCCTCATTGAGGCTAAAAATTTCAGATTCGATGAACCAGTATTATGGTGCTTCGCAGATTATGGTTGGTCAGATTTAATGGAATTTTATGTCGGTAATCATGGTTTAAAAAGGCGGGGCGCATGTAGTACGCCTCGATACGGTATTTCTTAGGTTAAAAATATGAGGCTCACGCCTCTAAATCTGAGGTGCAAGCCATAAGACGTGCGTCTCATTTAAAATTTGATTTTTCAATTGTATGAAAAGAAATCAGAAATGACCATTCTTTAAAAAAATGACCCATTTAAAAAGGCATTTTGAGCCCAAATAGAACAATAAAATACCTAGAAAGATGTGAAAATTAGATATGATGATGATTTCATTAACGATGCTAGTAATAGTGATGATAGTGCAGACTATTACGTTTTTTTTAGTTTAAACTGCTTCTTTTTTGTATTGCAAATGGAGTGATTTTTAACTTCTGTAATGCATTTTTTCTAAATATCTTTTTCTTTAAGTGGACTATATCTCAATATGCTAATGGCTATATATCCTATTTATCGTATGCTCCAACTTTAAATTTTTTGTATTTTTGTATTATTTTATAATTCTTTTACTTAGATTTTTTGTTTTTTGTGAGGCTTACGGCTCAATCCGCCTTGAGGATTAAACATCGCTTCATAAAGAAAAACTCCCTCAATACTTAGTTTCGCCTTTTTAAACCTTGTAGGTAAATAGTGGTGATGGTTCGACAGTGACGAAGCAGAAAAAAATAAGAATTGCCATATGAGATAGGAAGCAAAGAATTACATTGATGAATGCCACTTGATATAGCGAGTGAAAATTTTGATCTTCCAGTTTCTTAAATTTACACCAAATCAGTTTCATATAGGCCACGTGGGATACTGAAATAATATTATTTCCATGATTATGAGAGTAGTAAAGTCAAAAGTTAATCAAACAACTAACCTCATATAAAGCACCAGTAGGCTCTCTTGGAGAAAAGATGCCTTGAAGCACCACCCCGTCAGGAAACTGTACCCTGATAACTGTTCTATTGTACCTCTTTTTAGCAGCTTTTGCCTGCTTTTCTCTATATGATTTAGGAATTAAAAGCTTGGACTCTTCAATCTTCTTCTTCCTCATATCTGCCTCTCTTCTTAATTCTTCAGCGGAAAGGTTGTAGAAAGAATCAGGAAGCTCAATTTTTGCCGCTACACTTTCAGGGACGGAAAAGAACACCCGTGTCTAATAGGATGAGAAGATAGCGTATAGTCAGGACTCAAGCAGAAGCAAACGTTGGGAACTAAGATAAATATGAGTCCAAGGGAAAGAATGAAACACAGTTATACAATTATATTTTAATTTAAATAAAAAGAGAAAGTAACAAAGGAATGTGGTAGAATCTAAAACACATTAGTAGAAAATTAAGCAAATATGATATATTTGACTAGTACTAGAAAGTTATAGAGGACAGTTGAGTCCAAATAAATCATAAGTCTAAGGTTTCAACTGAGGACAGAAAACTACAACTCAAAAGTCAAGGAGTAAATATTGTAATATGCTGTTTCCCACTGAAACATGAAACCAAGACCTGATACAAATTAGCACTAGAAGATAACATCAATTTATGTCAACACTGATACAGAAAATTTATCATATTATTTCTGCTCTTAATGTGACAAAATAGAATGGAATGTAACATAACAAATTCTACCAGACGAGACTTTAAGTTCATATTATGGAGCTTGATTTGCAAACTCACACACCATGAACACAAATCAGTGACTACAAATCATGAATTACTTATTGCTACATAAATTGGGCCTTGGGGAAGAGAATGAGACACAATTTTAGCTAAAATAATTTATTAACTTTCATTTTGCTTCACAGCTCATTCAACTTACTCTACTACTTTACAAGGCTCACAGCAATTATTATGTCTTTGAATTTCTAAATCTCTCGACCTGATTAACATCCTAAATTTTTAGCTAAAAAATAGAGACAAGACCATTGTTTTTGAAAGAATACCTCATATAAAGCATGTGTCGTTTACATAAAACAGAACACAATGTAAAAAAAGAAAGAAAACGATACAAAATAAAACACAACATTAGCAGTGGAGATGAAAAAACTGTATACCTGTCTATCAACCTTCTTTGGCTCAGCTGGTTCCTCTAGATTAGCTGGAGCTGCAGATGGTGGTTCCTCAACCTTATTCGGCTCCAATAACAAAATGACATTCTTCACCAAACCAAGTTGTTCCTCTGATGGCACATCCATCACAAGCCACATCTCCCCAGCTTCCTCTTTCAAGTCAAAGCCCATGAATTCAAATAACTCCACTCCTCCCAGAACATCTCCAATCGCATCCTTTATCTTGGGATTCCCCATCCGAATCTTCCTAAACTTTGTATTCTCTGGCTCCTTCACGATATTCCTCAAAAGCCTTAGTACTACATCTAGTGATCCCCCAGACAGATTCCCTGATAAATATGTAGCAACACAAGCCTCCACTTCATTCTTGCCACACTCAATTTCTTTTTCACCATCCTTAAAGTCACATGATTTCGAATTATCCAAACAAGTCTCTACATGAGAAGACACCTCCTCTTCAGAGCCATAGCCTTTACCACAAACTGGACACTCAAACACTTTCAAAGCATAACCATTGGGATTCCTTTTCCCAGAGGTGATCAATGAGTTAAATGGGTCAAACCCATTTTCAGACTTCTCATTCCTATCTGAATCAACCCGAATTGCGGGTTTCTTATCCTCAATTTTCTGTTCAGAACTATTACTCAATTTTTGAGTTGCAGGCTTCGAATTTGATGATGAAGATTGATTTGGCTTTGGAGTACTCAAAGATTGGGAGGGTCTGGTTGCATTGACGTTTGCAGGGCCTGACGAAGGAGAAGAAGAGCCCAAGACTCTACCTTGGCCTCTGAATTTGCCTGAAGAAGACGATGAAAACGGGTTGTTGACTTTCTTCATTAACCCCTTCATTTTATCTTTCATCTCATCCATTTTCTTCCTATATCAATGAAATACAAACCAAAAACGAATCAAAGAAATCCGAACACCTCAAAAACAAAAACAAGAACGAATTTACGAAACGGAATATGAATGAATAGATATATCTGTTTTCAACAAGATATGTGAACGAATGGGATTTTATAGGTACCACGGAAAAATGAAACTTAAGCTGAATATAAATATAAGATTTCTTCTTGTATATGTGAAGTAAAACAAGGATTTCCGTATTGACCAAGAAAATATGAGCTGAGAAATCTATGGAGGGGTCGGCTTTAGGGTTAAATCGACCAATAACCCTCAATTTTATACTTAAGCTTGTGTTTGGCTCCATTATTTTTTAAATTTTTTTTCTTTTTCGTAATTATAATTTTACATCCTCCAAATAAAATAATATTATACGTAAATTTAAAACTTTTAATTACTTTTCAACCATACATTCTTCTATCAATCACCATTTCAAAATTTATAATACACCCAAAATGAGTGCCAAACACATGCTTAGTATCACTCTGATCATCCAACTTCTTTTCATGATTTTCATTAATTTTAAAAGAGTTAAGACGGTAATTTTGTATTATATGTATAAAATAAAATTTGAAAAAAAATTTAGAGAAAATGGTGAAAAAAAAAAGAAGTCGGATGGTCATGATGAAACGTCATATGTTATTGGGGGACTATAGTAAAATAAAATCAAATTAGGTTACCATGGTGATACTAAGTATAAATTCAGATAGTGATAATGAAATAAAATCAAATTGTGTGATTATAATGACACTAAATATAAAGTTAGATAACCCTAATATTGAGCAAATGGTTATTGAGTAATTTGTTGAAATTTATTTTTACTTTCTTTGGGTTATTAAAATAAAAAAAGTGAAAAATGGAATTAGAGGTAGTAGTTTTGTGTTTTATTAAGCCCCCGTTGAGGAAAATTAAAATATAAATTTTACTTTTAATTTAAATTAAAGTTAATAATTAATTTTAATCACATATTTCATGAAATTCCTAACTTTTCAACCATATATTTTTATCAAATTTCGCTGAAAATCTGATTTTAATCCCTATCAAATATTTCAACTTAATCTTTGACTTTTAAAAAAATAAAATTATATGCATTCAAAAAGAAACTCAAACAAAGCTAAATATAAATACACGCGTTAATTAATTTACCAAAATTAATTAATGTCCACTGAAAATTCTGCGTGACTAATAGCAGGCTTCCCCATAAAACAAACTTTCGTTAATGTTTCTTCTTTGTGAATGAATTGAGAGAATTAAAGTGGGATATTGATTGAAGTTCAAAAACAAAAGAAAAAGATTCCGAAATTGCTGAAGATGTAACATTTATAAATGAATCTAGCTCGCAAATTCTTTATTGATCATTATTCGTGAAAGAACACGAAGAAAAAACAAGATTCTTTTGCACATAATCTACAACTCGAAAAATTTTCATTACGCACAGATTTCATTTATACTTCGTCTGATCTCTACCATGGATGGTCTTCTATCAGGATGTTGTGCAGTGCAAGAAATGGCGAGATTCAAAACTCGTACCATTTGATCCTCAAAGTAGTCGAACCTAATCAACTCAGGATCAAACACTTCAATTATCCACTTTTCTTGCCCAACAGATTGAACCCAACTCGGCAAATTTATCCCATCCTCCATCAAAACACTATCTGGTTCCTTACCGGTCAGCAATTCCAAAAGAAGGACGCCAAAACTGTATACATCGGCTTTCTTCGAAATCTTGCGTGAATCTGTCACTTCAGGTGCCTGGTAACCGTTCAGATTGGGTGAAGTTATGTTTGAAACGAGTCGTGTGAGGCCGAATTCAGTAGGGCAGGCATCGTAGTATTCTGTGAGCAGAATGTTCGATGATTTGATATTTCCATGTGTAGTATCACGGTCGAGTGAGTGGAGATACTGGATGCCGTTGGCAACATCGATCGCAATTTTGCTTCTGATTTCCCAATTCAACGATCGCCTGTTGTCTCCTGTTGATTATGATATTAGAATTTAGTATGGAGAAAACGAGTTTGATGTAATTTTAGTTTAACAAGAATAAGAACAGGGCAGCAGCATCATATCAAAAACAAGAACCTGGAAAATTGACACTGTTCCCTTAAGATATAATAAGACTAGACCAAAAGATTAGACATGCCATTGAGTCATTGACCATGTGTCCGGAACTCCGTCTAAACATATACATAAACTCGTGCCTACATCAAATCCCTCGAGCCAAAAGTCTCCGGTAAATCAGCGATGTTGCAAAGATAGTTTATACAGTAAAAGCGTTGAATCTTTTATACATAATGCTCAATGAGCAAAGCATAAAGGTATAGCATCTCCACACCCTTTTTAGGCACTGATAGCAAAAGCACGAGCACCACTCGAGCTTGACATTGGTGATGTCGATTTTCGGTTGACATAAAAAATGTTCGAGGATGCAAATCTTTGAATAACTAAGAAAAAGAAAAACAGAGCATATAACTAAGGAAAAGAAGAGAAGACAAAGAATCTCACCATGCAGAACCATAGACAAGCTTCTAGGCATTGGCTCAAAAATAAGCAGCTTTTCTTCTGTACCATAAAAGTATCCTCTAAGAGGCACCAAATTCTCATGTATAAGTGAACCCAAATCTTCAATTGCTCTCTTAAACTCTTTCTCAGAAAGACAAACATTTTTTAACCTCTTAACAATTACCTGAACCCCACTTTCTACATATGCCTTGTATGTGGTTCCAACTCTCCCTTTCCCTAATACCTCAGCAGAAGCCCTCAATAACTCTTCTAAACTGAACATTTCTACGTCTTCCCCGAAAAGCACCAAACCATCATTTCCACCTTGCACAACTACCTTTCCCTCTCTCTTTCTGGAAGCAAAACTATTGCTGAATTGCTGGTCTTCTGCTGCTGTAATGATAGACACAGGACTTGGAAATCCTATATCCGGTAGCTGGACAGGAGAAAGAGGCATTGGTGAATTTGCGGCATGCTGGAGAATTTCCGGGCTTCTATATCTTCTCCATATAATGAACATAATTACAAGAGTTAAGAGCAATGCAATTACTGATCCAACAATAATTCCAGCTATTGCTCCACCTGAGAGTTTGTTTCCATTACTGGGACAAGAATCAAGAGGTCGACCACAAAGAAAGGTTCCTAGATAAGTTTGGGAGGGAAAATTATCCAATCTTGGCGGGATTGAGCCCGTTAATGCGTTAAATGAAACGTTAAACTCCTCAAGCTTAGTGACGCTATTCAAATGAGGAAGTAATCCAGTGAACTGATTGTTTTCCAAGTACAAAATCCTTAACTTGGTAAGGTTGTTAAAAGCAGATGATAGATCGCCGGAGAAGCTGTTCTGGGCTAAATTCAAACGTTCAAGATTTTTTAATGTAAATAAAGTCTCCGGTATTTTGCCTGAGAAACGGTTTCCCTGCAACTGAAGATTGCGTAGCTTGGTGCACGAGCCCAAGTCAGAAGGGATTGGACCGGAAAGAATATTTCCCCGGAGGCTGAGGACTCGGAGTTCGCTCAAGTTTCCAATGGAATTTGGTGGGAGCTGGCCGGTTAGGCCGTCTCCAGGGAGGCGAACATCCGTAACACGGTTGGTTACATTGTTACATTTCACACCTTCCCATAAACAAGGATTTGAACTACTGGCGTTCCATCGTAGGGTACGGCCGCGGACCGCGTCTCTTAGGCGGAGCAGCGCCGAACGGTCAGCCTCGAGGTCCGAGAATACAGTGGTAATGGAACTTAGTGACAACAGGAAGAAAAGAGGGAAAAGATTAAGCAAGAGAAAGGAAACCATTTCTTTCTTTTCTGTGTGAAACCAAAGAGGATTATTTTTGAATTTTAAGAAAAAAAATTGTTCTTCCTGAACAATTCATGGCTTTCTTTTTATTCTCTGTTCATAATATATAGTCAATGGTCTTATTAGTTGATTTTTCTTCTGCATGCTTCGAACTCATTCATCCATGAAGCTGACGGGTAATGACCATTTCTTGGTGTTTTTCAACGATAAATATGTGTTGAATTCCACAACCAGAATAGTTTAACATTGACTTTTATGTAGAAAGTTTGGCTAACCGAAGGAATTCAGATATACAAATTCAGAACAGTTAGGTTTAATGGATGTACCAAAGCACTATGGTTTGTTACATTTGAACTTATCTAATCGTCTAAACTTTTAAATAAAATGATTTAACATGTTACCAAAGCAGCAAATGCATATGTTCAAGTCTCCCACAACCATCAATTTAATTAAAAATTGTACGTGTAAGGTTTTAATAGAAAAAATCGTGCCTACAAGCGATATGACGCGTTGATGATAATTTTTAAATGATACATTTGACCTTTTCAATAATTTCAACTTTTAGATTAAATAATTCAGCATGAGCGAGAGACTTGGGAATAATTGATAGTCTCATTTTGTATACCTAGTAGGTTTTCATAGAATTTATTTTGACGGTTCATGATTTTATTTTTCCGATTTTGAATTTTTTTTTTAAATGTAAATTTATTTTTCGTGTTATTGTTATTATTCTTTATATATTTCTATATCCTTTTATAATTTCTCGGACGAGGATGAATTAGGAAATTAGTCTAGATTCCCAACAAATTATACACAAAAAATATTTTTATATTATTTCTATCTCTTTAGTAACTTAAACTTTTGAAACCATTTAGTTCAACGTAATATCATGTTGACTAAAGTCGTGAATTGAAATTCCACTTATTTTTATTGATTCAAATTTCACTTTTAAAGTCTTTAAAAGTAAATGAATTTCAATTTTCTAGAAAATTAAATTTCACCGCGATTCAGATCAATCATATATATGGATCTTTTTTTTTTTTTTAATGTTGGAATAGTACAAGTTAAAAATTACGTATACAAGAGGTTTTCTTTGAATTTCAGTGCATTTTACCTTCCTTTTCCGTTCCCCTTCCCCTTTCCCTTTCCCTTTTGGACACAGACAAAATTTCTAAACCAATTTGCACGAAGTCCACCCAAAGAAATTAGACCTGTAAATGGCGTACAAACTGGGAAATGATTATTTGTAACTATATAATGGCAAGGTCTAAGCTTATACGCGTAAAGGTACCCACCTTTATAAAGGTCGGTCTCTTCTTACATGATTGGTTATTATTTATTAAATACAACAAGGGAAATTTTCATCATTGATTAATAATAAATCTTGAATACACGATTTTATTTTTATGATATCTTGTTAAATAATTTGTGATGAACTGATAAAAATTGCTACTTTGTGCTTTCTTTGGGCTTAAATTAAGAATATTGCCATTTTTAGTTGTTATTTATGCTTACAAATTATCGTGTAACATGCTTAAATGCTTATTGTACATCAAATTGAACCGTCTTCCTGATCAGAAGAATCTGGGCGGACCCTCTCTCAGAAGACCCCTTCCACCGATCGTCGTCTTCCGCAAAGCGATGCTCGAGTTCCTTATGAAACTATTATGGGGCATAACAAATCAAAGGCCGGACGTTGAGGTCCGTCTTCCTGATCAGAAGAATCTGGGCGGAACCTCGCTCAGAAGACCCCTTCCAACGAGCGTCGTCTTCCGCAAAGCGATGCTCGAGATCCTTATGAAACTATTATGGGGTTTGCGTTACTCAAGCCAACATTCTCGCTTCCGCTTTTGACCTAATTGTGAGAATATGAAAAGGATTAATTGGATATGTGTTAATTTCGTACATGATATAAATTTGTGGAGTAATTTTGGTTAATCGGATTGAAACTGTGTATCGACATTATGCTGCGTGTCCCAACTATTTACACAAATAAAAGGATAAAAGATCCCAATGAAGACATCAAATAAAATATCTCAAAAATAACAAAGGTTGTGAAACTGGAATTATGGAAAATCCCCACATATCTAGATAGCTGTTTTTATTGGTTTGAACTAACCAAACTTTAGTGAGAAATCAATGAGTAAAAGGAAAATTGACCATTAAGGGCTGTGATGAAACCAACTTGAAAATTTATTCTTTTGTACAACTTTGGCTGGACTCAGTTGAGAATTGGGTTTGGCTATTTACCTACGCACATAGGTCGAGCATTTGTATAAATGAAAAACTCGTGTGTAGCATGTTTAGAGATTTGTTGTGAATGGATTACTTGGATCTAAACCTGAGGCAAAAGTGGCAAGATATCTTACTATGTGCATAATATTTTTCTCTTTGTGTGTTTTGAGTTTTTGAGCTTAAGTGAAGTTTTGTTTGTTTTCCTCAGGGCTAGCAAAAGTCTATGTTCGGGTATGTTCGGAAGTGTATTTTATACACTTATTTAGGTTCTTATTTTAAGACATTTTTACATTCCAAGTGCTAGAGTTGATATCTGTTGATCTTGTATTTACTTTTGTTTTGTAGGATGGAATCCCCAAACTCAAGTTACATTGATGAAAATGGCAATAAAATGAGAAGAAATCGAAATGTTTTAGTAAAGATCAAGAGTAGAGAATTGGAAGATGAGAAAGAAGATAAAATATAGGAGAACCACATTATTTTGGAATGACAACGAAGATTAGAAGAGGAAAGATAAAGAAGAACCAAAACGAGGAGCCAACGCATGCACAACGTAGGGAAATTGGAGTACAAAGTTTGGTACAAAGATCACTACAAAGCAAATGATACACCATTGAAAAGGATAACTGGATGAGGAGTTCAACACTTTTTACACAGTTATGAGTTTTGTTAGAATTTTGGTGTGACTCGAATTCCTTGTTGAAGTAATTGAAGTGCACATCAAGATAATCCAGCTTGGAATGCTATTGGAATTCTAAGTCAAGTTAAAATTTTATTTTGGAAGTTGTAATTTGTTTTGGACTCCATTTTTTTGGTCTCTTACTTCATCAACAACTCTATTAGGAGGGTTTGGACATCCCCTACATGTTCCTTATAAATATTAGGCTCTTCCATATAATTTTGTGGTGTGAGAAAATATATTACTAGAATTATAGGATCTATTGTAATTTTCTTTATCATCCATTATTCTTGAGTCAATAAAATCTCTTAATTCCTCTGACATATTCTTATCTTTATTATTCTTTTGCTTAATCATATATTTCATTATTATTTGCCATATAACTTTCAACATCTCAATTGGTGATTTATTTCACAACAATTGGTATCAGAACGCCAGGTTCAGCAATTCTGTAAGAGCGCAATGTTTGATTTGTCCGATGTTTTTTTTATTCGTGATGACTTCCATGAAGTATAACATTTTATTTTTGGATCAGAGTACTAGATTTTCACCATGGTAGGTTAAGAAAAGTGTAGTACTCGCACAACTTGATTTAGATGATGCGTTGTTAGGAATTGATAGGATATCCGCAACTATGATCACATAGGAGAAATTACGGAAGATAAGAAGACAAATTCTTGATTCAGCATGTGTGTTTCATATGTGTCATATTAAGGACTTGTTTGTTACATATGAAATTTTTTTCAAATGTGTCGTGGTTATGGGAAACAACACATCTTGTTGGGTTGTTGGAATTGGTATAGTCAGATTGAAACTTTTGGATGTGACAATTAGAACACTTGACCAGGTTCGACATGTTCCAGATTTGAAGAAAAATTTTATCTCGTTGTCTACCCTTGATTCAAAAGGTTATGAGTTGTTTGGTAGAGGTGGAGCTTTAAAAGTTTGTAAGGGTGCCCAAGTTGTATTGGAGGGATAGAAAAAGTCTTGGTTATACATCTTGTAGGGTCGTGCAGAATTTAGAAGAGTCAATCATAACAAGTTCAGGACCGTGGTGGACATAGCAGAGTCGTGCAGAATTTAAAAGAGTCAAGCAGGACAAGTTCATGACCGTGTGGACATTCAGATTGGTACAATACTTTTTGGAGTTTATAAATGGTCGGATTTGAAGAATACAGTTCAGTGGAGTTCAGGAGATATGGGATAATGTCACTTTGCCACCATCACCTACGGTGTCATTGTATTCAATTGTTAGGGATGGACCCAATGAAAAAGGGTATGTGGATGCTGATTTTGTTGAGCATTCTTTAAGTGGAATGAAGGTGTACAATCTAGCAAGTGACCTTCTTTAAAAGCATTTATGTTTGATTCTGCTTTGGGATATGTTACAGTCCATTCTGATTAATTTAAAATCATTATGATTTGTTGGGAATTTGAGGTAATTCTATAGAGTAGTGCTTGGATCATTGGAAAATGTGGAGTATTGTGTTCTATTTGGAGAAGAAGTCAGTTCATTCCTTGGAGGAATTCGTGTCAAAGTGGAGATTGTTAAAATTTGGGTGTGACTTGAATTCCTTGTTTAAATAATTGAAAAATTCTAATTGAAGTGCAATCAAGAAGAATTCAGTTTGGAATGTTATTGGAGTCCTATGTCAAGTTGAAGTTTTATTTTGAAAGCTCATTGAGAGTTGTAATTTGTTTTGGACTAGATATTTTGGTATCCTACTTTATTAACAACTTTACTATGAGAGTTTGGACATCCCCTACTTGTTCCCTATAAATACTAAGCTCTTCTATATAATTTTATGGTGTGAGAAAATATATTACTAGAATTATAGAATCTATTATAATTTTCTTTATTCTCTATTATTTTTGAGTCAATAAAATCTCTTAATTCTTCTAGCATATTCCTGACTTTATTATTCTTTTACTTGATCATATACTTCATTATTATTTGCCATATAATTTCAACATCTTAATCCGATATTTTTTTTTCACAACAAGTTTCCTACCAAAATTTATACACGAATTGCTAAAAGTTGCTTGAGCAGAAGAGTGGAGCTCGCTGGTTCCAGCATTTACC